AATGTAAAAGTTCTGCTAAGTAATGATTAGAAATGTATGGTTTATTATTTAGTCACACTCTTAAATATCAGTCATATGGTTGTCTGCCGAGTGTATTGCATTCAATACAATAAGACAATCTAGTCTTTCCAAGTCTCTGCAGTCTGCACTGGCACTCACAATTGAGCGTGCGAACTGAATCTTACCAGATGGTTGAACCGCAATCGGCACATTGAGTGACTAATCCCTCAGTGTTGTTATAACACTCTCCTTCTCATAGCGTTTCCACTGTGCACCCATACTTGCCTACTAGGTGCCAACAAGATATTAATCTGCTGTGACTGATTTTCCATCTCAGGTGATGCGGCAGGCTGTTTATCAGGATGTTATAAAACATAAGCTGAAGTGGCGATCTGATGGTCATGTGTTAATGAAATGATGTGCTGTCGTTCTTTCAGATGTGGTCAGCATTGAGAAGACCAGTGAGAACTTCAGGCTGATCTATGATGTCAAGGGACGCTTCACAGTTCACCGCATCACAAACGAGGAGGCCAAGGTGAGCTTAATATTCTTATACATGACAAATAATGGAGGGTATGACAGGATTACATCAGTTTAATTTGAGACTGCAGTTTTTTTGAGCTAATCCTTTTGTCCTGTTTTAGTACAAATTGTGCAAGGTGAGGAAAACCCTCATCGGCACAAAGGGAATCCCACATCTGGTGACCCATGACGCCCGCACCATCCGTTACCCTGATCCTCTGATCAAGGTCAACGACACCGTCCGCATTGACCTGGACACTGGCAAAATTACAGATTTCATCAAATTTGAGACAGGTTGGTGAGCATATTGTCTTAAACTATCGTATTTTTCTTTTGTTTTGAGTTGCACATCACTTGTTGACTTCTTTCTGTGTAAATAGGCAACATGTGCATGGTGACCGGAGGTGCTAATTTGGGGCGTATCGGTGTGATCACCAATAGAGAGAAGCATCCTGGATCTTTTGATGTGGTGCATGTTAAAGACAGCACTGGCAACAGCTTTGCCACCAGGCTCTCCAACATCTTCGTCATCGGCAAGGTAAGCACATTTAAGATTTAAAATTTTGCTCTCTGTTGTTTAATATGGGCTTTTAGCAAGCAGTTGACTGTGCTTATATGCTCAAACAGTGCTCAAAATTAAGACTTTGTGAACTTTCGACTCATTGGGCTGCACGTTTCTACAAATTCCCTTTTCTGTCTCATGACAATATTGAAATTTTTGAAGTCCTACATAAATGGCATCCTGAAAAACATTACCATTATATGCTAAGAGGTGTTGTTGTTGTTATTTTTGCAGATTTGGAAAAAAAAACTTATTTTAGAGTATTTTAAGTTAATAGTTGTGCTAATACTATGTCTCTGTCATCAGGGCAATAAGCCATGGGTGTCCCTGCCTCGTGGAAAGGGTATCCGCCTGACCATTGCTGAGGAGAGAGACAAGAGACTGGCTGCCAAACAGAGCAGCAGCTAAGTTAACAGACTAGCAAACGCCTTGGTTTCAAATAAAAGGTTATTTACAACTACAGCGAATCTTGTCTTTTGTTGAAACCTATGAAGTGAAAAGACTAAAAGGGTGTTTTGTTGCAAATGCAGGTGCTCTGAAATATAATTGGTGATACTTATTTATTATTTTTTATTTTTTGTATTCAAATAAAGGTATCTATTAGACTTGTCTCTATACCCACACTTGTGCTCTTGAGTGTGTGTACATGTGACAAGTGTGCAAGACTGCCCCAGATCTGATAAATGCCAGCGCTAAAAGCACACTAAATCCACACTATCACCAATACTGCTTCATAGCGCTATTTGAGGCCCAGTGTATCCAATCATTCATCATTTTCAGGAACTCGGGTGCTCTGGAATAGCGTAATGTTAAGGAAAACCTTTCCAGTATTAATTTAATTTGATATCCCATATGATCTGGCAGCCAAGTGTTGCATTTTTTATTGGTGCAGAGATGGGTTTCATGAAACTGACAACTCCTTTTTATCACTTAATTCAAAGCATCACAAATACAAAATTGTGTAATCTGTTACATAGGGAGTACTCAACAGACATTTAGAAATACTGAAAATCTAGAAGGGTTCATGTCATTTTAGTACACATATAGTAGGTGTTGATATAGGCTCTTAGTTTAAGGTAAAGTATATTGTCCCTAGGGAGAAATTTATCTTGGGGCTTAGAAGAAGAGGCCCCTGCATCACATAACTCACAATTAACACAAGTGCATTGTCACAAAAATAAAGACCTTGTGTTAAGTCTCTTAGTTAATGGTATTTAATATTGTTATTGCAGATGAATGAATTACTAAACTGGCTTATTGGCAACATTTCACATTCTAGGATCAGATTGCGTGTTGTGTCATTTAGAATCTTGTGTGCCTCCCTCATCAGCACTCAGTTTTCATACATCGACTGGAGATTGAGTTGTGTTTTTTGGCCCATGATCTTAATGGCCGTTACTGCACTGCTAGGATACTATACATCTATTCCACAGTGCAAGGTGTACTGTAAATAGTTTGAATGTCTGAATGAAACTGTTGTTTGCACTTGTACTGACATCTAGTGGTGTGGGTGTGGTACCACTTCAAAGTGAGCCTTTCACTTATTGGTGCC